TAAACGTTTCTCTGTGGAGGAACGGAATAACAATTTATTCCTATGGAACATCTAGGAAGATGAAGATTTAATCAGAAATATCGACAAATTCTTGCGGAGTCCAAAGAAATGAAATAAAAAAGGCCAACTGTTCTTATTTCATCTCTATCGAATTTTAATATCAGAATAGCGGATATAGTCATGATTCAATGGGTCAGGTCCACTTACTTTTTCTTTTGTTGATTTTGAATCTTTACAATGGATTTTATTATCATAATGGAAAATCGGAATAGGTGGTGATTCAAGAGACGACTTATCATTATTCATGATAATTATATTTTTTTACTGAACAAATGCTTAACTTTATAACTACTATACTATAACTCATTAGAATAATAACTTATTTTCTACAGTTGGTTACTTTTTTTATTACAAATATAAACAATATTGGCATTCCCCTTTCAAATATGAATACGACGACTGGGTTTTTATGGAAAAAAAGTAAAAGCCCCTTATCGGATTTGAACCGATGACTTACGCCTTACCATGGCGTTACTCTACCACTGAGTTAAAAGGGCCTATTTAATTCAATTATTAATTCAATTACTGAATGAGTCACTATGTGGATAAAATCAAAATAGATCTAAGTACATATATTATATACATAAGTACATGGAGTAGACCCATAGTAGCCAGCGGCTCATTCTTGAATGAGAAAATGGATTTCCCTAGCAAGTCTAGGGTAAAATGCAATGAATTGTTTCAAGATCAACCCCAATTGCTTTTCTTTTATTGAATTGATCCTTAGCAGAACGAAATTCACTTGATTGATACATGTACACCTATCAATTCGACATAGATTCAAGATATTTCATCGAATCATGTAATGAAGAGATTCTCCCTGTCCCTTGAACCAAATTCTTAGAGAAAAAAATGATTTTCGATAACTTCTTGATTCCTCTTCCCAGATTTATCGTTTATGAATTTCCTGGCGTAGTGTGAGATAGAGATAGGCATATCTCATTTTAACAATGACTGAACCAATGAACGAAAGTGGGAGAAATGGAACTTAACCCCTTTTTTCTTTTATGACGGACAAATCGCTCCCTGAACGAATCCTAATCCTATCCTTCGTATTATTTTTATTTAATATAAATAATATATTAATATCGATTTCTATAAATAGATTTCAATATAGAATGGCGATTAGAATGAATGATTCATGAACATGAATATGAATTGACGAATCAAAAATGCTATGAAATCATCAAAAACGGAAAAATCCCTCGGGTCTAATCATACCATTCCATTATATTGACAATTTCCAAAACTGTTCATACTATGATCAGAGTCTGATGGCGGTTGGGCAAGTATGCCCCTATCGTCTAGTGGTTCAGGACATCTCTCTTTCAAGGAGGCAGCGGGGATTCGACTTCCCCTGGGGGTAGGGTGTAGGGTACTACAAAAGAAAATTGATCGTGGATTATCAATAAGCCTCAAATTGATTCTTGCTGGGTCGATGCCCGAGCGGTTAATGGGGACGGACTGTAAATTCGTTGGCAATATGTCTACGCTGGTTCAAATCCAGCTCGGCCCAATAATTTGCCAATCTACCATGAACTGGTATAACTCCCCTGTCCTTCAGAAATATCTGATACGGAGGAATAAAAAAGAATCGCATTTTCTGCTATATCCCCTATTTTCCTGGGATTGTAGTTCAATTGGTCAGAGCACCGCCCTGTCAAGGCGGAAGCTGCGGGTTCGAGCCCCGTCAGTCCCGACGGATTCAATAAACAAATTCGCCCCTTAGTTCTTTTTTCTTTCCTTTTTCCTTTCGCATTTCTCATCAAACAAATAGGGAAATTTGCATTACTTTAACTAGTACCGATTGATGGGAGAAAGACATATGTCGATTAGTACAATTATTGGTAGCATTCTATTCAGGATTCCAAGAGATACTGGATCTGTTTTTTCGATTGCTCCCGATCCCCCTAATGGAATAGAGTACCATATCTTTCTCGGGAGCACATACGCAAATGGGATTCGTTTCTTGTACGATACAAAATGAATTTAACATAATTACCCTACCTAATAGAATAGTTTTCCAGATTCCATTATCTTTTTTTCTGGCCCCAATTTTGTGTAACTTCAATTACTAATTTGAATTTGAAAAATCTATTTCATTCAAATTGCACACTGAGCTTTTGATATATGTGCCCCGTACTAATCTAAGAAGGGGGAAGATAAAGATAAAGATCAAACAAGGATCCCGCCACTCCTAGCAAAGGAAAGGAATGGAAAAGTTTTCCTTCTTATTTTTCCGTTTTCTTTTCGGGGTCCTATCGAATAAAGAACAAATCAAATCCTAAAATATTGAATTTGATGGAATATTATATCTTTTATACCGGGACTCATCTTTATCACACTTCTTTGTCTTCCAAGAAAATTAGATCATTAAAATGGAGTTTAGAACTTAACTCCTTTCTTTTTCCATTTCACTTCTAGTGTTTGTTTGGGTTTGCGATTAATGGAAGTTGGAAGGCGGTCAGATGATACTTCATCAGATGATTGTACAAGGAAGACGTAGGGTAGGTTATAGAAAAGAAAAAAGAATGATCAAATAAATAAAAAAATTCTTGATTGGATCAGGAATCCAATTTTGGATTCGGTATGGATAAAAGATCTTCCTATGTTATACTATTCAATTCTCGACGATGAATTGATTTGATAGCTCAGATATTGTTATTCATGATATTGACCCGATTCAATATGATCGAGAGGTAATTCATCCATTGAATTTACAGGCGAAAGATTTTTCATCTCTATGGGATTAAATCCCGAGTTATTGCGAAGTAAAAAAACGATGAGATTATGGAAGTAAATATTCTCGCATTTATTGCTACTGCACTGTTCATTCTAGTTCCTACTGCTTTTCTACTTATCATTTATGTAAAAACAATCAGTCAAAATGATTAATTAATTTGAATAAAACTTGACTTCTGAGTTGATTGAAGAAAAAAATGAAAAGGATTCCAATTTCGCGTCTTAAATGAAATGAGCGGATTAGAATTAGCAGTATTCTATGAGATCCGATAGTATGGTAGAAATAAATATACGAATATTTATTTCTACCATATACTATCTATTAGTGTTATTGTAGTGTATAAAGTCGTACTCTATAATAAAGATAGGGGCTTAATATAGATCAATCTACAATACTCTTCATATATGTAGATTCCAATTCCATATATGGAATTGATATCTACATAGTACCCAATTCTATTTCTTTGGTACATCTATTTGTTCCGATCAATCTAAGATAATCGAAAGGCAACTCTTATTCTTATGGTTCTAATTCCTAGATTTTTGATTATTTCCAACATGAATCCCAATTTGTTTTTAGCATTACGAAGAAGTAATTGATTAAGCCATTGACAAGAGTTCTATGGAAACTTCTTCGGATTTCGAAAAGTAGTAGTAAACCTCGCCGATTTTTAACGCTTGAACCATGATATGAAATAAGTCGATAAAACAGAAATTCAATTTCTAAAATAATAAAACAAGGGGTAAGTGCGCACAATATGTGATTCGCCCAGAGCAAGATCTTAGTATGCATAATATCTTGTTAGACAATCATTATGCCGATTTTGTTTCTCATAGAAAGTGCGTGTACACTTAACAGAACGACTTCCTATTTGAAGAATAATTGAAGAGTAAGGGGGGAAACAAATAAAAAAAGAGGTCGGTTCTTCCTCATTGTTCATATATAATTCTGATAAGAACCCATTTATTGAATTATTGAAATAGAAAATTTAGGAAGAATTAGGTTGGAAGAAATTTCCTATCCTCCGTATCCCCCTTCCTTTCAAAATACAAAGATGGAAATCGTTGAAATATTTCTTTGATTGAAAGAGTATTATTCATATATTACATTATTCCACTAGAATCCGATGGAATTTCGAAATGAAGATATTTTTATTTAAAATAGTGAAAAACGCTTTGCAGAACGATCTATAAAAATTGATACAGTTTGATTCCGCAACTCAATTAGTAGTACTTCTAGAGTCCACTTCTTCCCCATACTACGAGTGAAAGGGAAAATGTAAAGACTACCATTAAAGCAGCCCAAGCGAGACTTACTATATCCATGTGAATTATGTCCCCTATCTCTATGAATATGAAGGAATTATTCCATTATTGCTCACTAATAATAGTGGAATCAATGGCGCAGAGTCAAAAAAAGATTCTGACCCAACACTATTGATGAACCAATCCAATAAATCTACTTCTAATAAATTTCTATATAATTTCTAATTGGGAAAGATTAAACACAAGCAAAATACGCAGTGACATCCCAAGGGAATGTTACTAATGGAACATGTAGGAATAATAGGAACTGTTCTTTTCAATCTAATATTGATCGAATGCCTGAACACTCAGAGACTCCCGTGAGTACGTATATTCTATAAAGCATCTTCCGCCCCTTCCACAACTACTAATTTCAGTAGATTCCCTATTCGACTATCCAATCTAATTCAAGACTCAGTCAGTAGACACTACATTAGTCGTAGAAGGGAATCGAGAAGTTTTGATAGCCCCTTCGCTACTAGAATCTTTTCGCGACTCCTAGATGCAAGGATTTACAATCTTTTAGAAAATACTTGCTTAGAATTAAGCAAGTATTGACAGTCTTTTTCCTCTGCTTCTGCTGGGGAATAATTCAGCGAGTTATATCAGCAGAACAGAATAAGGGATTTCGAGTCTTTTGTTGATCAGGCGACACCCGGATTTGAACTGGGGAAAAAGGATTTGCAGTCCCCCGCCTTACCACTCGGCCATGCCGCCAAAACGATACAAAATAGATGAAAATTTCCCCCTTTTGGGTTGGATTACTGAACGTCTTTTTTTTATTGTACTTGCGTCTTGAAGTCCTTTTTTGAATTCCCTTACTAAAAAAATCCTTCTTTTTTTTTGATTGGATTTGATTCACCCCTTCGATTAATTGTATAGTATCTCAAAACACACAATGCCTAAAAACCCCCTTCTATTGAAAAAGAAAATGTGGATTTTCAGTCCCAAAAACCAAAATTCATGACAAATTTGAACCATTAACTATTGACTGCTGACTTCAAATTCATAAACGATTCTTGGATTTAAATCTAAAATTATGTTTTCGAAAATCCAAATTGATACATAACTAATCAGTATTGATTTTTTTCAATAAAAAAAAATCCTTCTCCATTTCAATTATAACAACAATTATGAGTATATGTAAACCCCAGAATAGAAATTGTTACACCGATATTTAATGGGGTATCTTTTTTAT